TAAGGGTGGGTGCTCTCATATCACATGGTCACAAGGGATTCAGAAAGGGCAAGAGAAAAACAAATTTCTCATGTGCAGGATATTAAAATCTGTAGGTAAGGAAATATTCAAGCAGCCACTACTTTAAGAAGATTTATTTTATTTTTAATTGTGTGTATGTGAGTGGACATGGGCACATGAATGCAGAGGTGGCCCATGGAGGCCAGAAGAGAGCAACAGACCTCCTGGGACTGAGGTTAGAAGGGCTTGTGAGCTGCCTGATGTAGATGCTGGGCCCCAAACTCTGGTCCTTTTCGAGGCCAGTGTATGCATCATACTGCTGACCCAACTCTAGCCTGAAGGAGATCCATTTTTAAGATCTGAAACTGAGCAGATATCATGATGCCTTTCTAAGTTGACATCCCAGCTTGTTTGTGAATGCACCATTAGAGAAATTGGGTCCGCCTGTGACTGTGAGCACCAGTGGGATTCTTCCCTATGTCAGGAGCCCTGGATAAGCCAGTCCTGAACGTGGCTGTCCCTTATACACCAACAGGTCTGTAACTTCTCAGCGAAATTCTTTTTCTTTTTTAGTAATTTTTTTCTCTTTCATATGATATATTTTGATCATATTTCCCTCTATCAGATCCTGCCCATCTCCCTACGTACCCAACTCTGTGATCTCTCTTTCAAAAACAAACAAAACAAAAAGAACCTCCCATAGAAACACAAAAATGAAAGTCAAAACAAATAAGCAAAAAAACTAACAAGACAAAAAATTGCCCAAATTAAAAAAGACGTTAAAAAAACAACAAAATAATAACAACAACAACAAAACAAAACAAAAGCCCAAAATGCACTGAGTTCATTTTGTGCTGGCTAACTAGTCCAGGGCATAGCACCTGCCCTGGAGTGTGGGTAATACGCTCAGTAACACTCTAGCTTGGAAAACTGATTTTCCCTTTGCCAGTGGTATCAGTTGCAAGCAGCTTCTCGGTTAAGGGTGGGAGCCAGTGTCCACTTCTCCCTCTCAGTGCTATGACCCCATCTGTCTTGAACCCATGCAGGTCTTGTGCATGCTGCCTGGGTCCCTGTGAGCTCATTCGTGCATCATTCCTGTTGCATCTGGAAGGCACTGATTCCCTGGAGTCATCCACCCCTCTGGCTCCTACAGTCTTTCAGCCTCCTCTTCCACATAGGTCCCTGAACCTTGAGGGGCAGGGTTTGATGAAGACATCCTAATTATGACTGAGTGCTCCGAAGTCTCTCACTCTGCACATTGCCCACTTGTGTCTCTGTGTTAATTCCCATCTATTGCAAGAAGAAACTTCTCTGATGAGGGTTGAGGGAGGCACTGAGCATTGGGCATAGCAATATGAGTTATGAGTCATTTGGTTGCTATTTGCCTTTAGCAGAATCATGCTAGTAGGTTTTCCCCTAGCTGAGACCACTTTTTCTTACTGAATATGCCCCCAGTCCTCAAATTCCTTATACCTTCCAGCTTCCTTTGCTTTTGTGTATAGTATGATTTCTCCCTGACAGACCTATTACATTTCTTTCCTTATTCAGCATTTCTTCCCTGGTTAATATCTTATGTCGGCTTGCACCCGGAGTTTTGGTCAGGCGTTCTGCATGTGTCCTGAGATGAATATTCAAATGGATGTGCTGTTGTGAGCCAAGCAGCTAATCCTCAGTATTAGAGGTGGACCTCATTCAGTTTGTTTAAATGCTTTACCAAGCAAACAGCAGCATACTCATCTCCTCAGTAAGAAAGCTTTCTGTCCCCAGACCGCCTTAGGACTCGAGATGCAGTTTTTCTGGTTGGTGACTTATGCCATCTGATCTCTCTCTCTCTCTCTCTCTCTCTCTCTCTCTCTCTCTCTCTCTCTCTCTCTCTCTCTCTCTCTCTCTCTCTCTCTCTCTCATGCTCCCCCACACTTCCCTGGTGATAAATTTCTATCTCTCTGATGTCAAATGCAGTCACTTGTATATAAACAATGGTAGTAGAGAAAATTTATCTTTCCACTGGCTTGTTCTCGGCATCTACCAGACAATGTGTGACACACAGTAGGTACTTAACAGGGTGTTTGCTTACCTATACTTCTCTCAGCAGACTGTAATATCAAGGTTTCTCTTGCTTTAAAATGTCTTTCTTAGGAAGGTGAATATTTAGATAACTTATATTTCCCTCTTTCTCCTATTGTCATTTGCCATAGTTTACCTTCTTTTCCAATCCTTAACTCTTTTTATGTTTTTTCTGCTTCTCAGAAAACAAAACAAAAATCACTCAGAACATTTAGATTTGTATGAGGTTCCCGCCCCATCATAACTGAAATGCCCCAGTCTCTGTCTAAATAGTTTCAGTCAGACCATTGCACTCTACAAAGATGAGTACATGCAAACCTTTTTAAATGCAAACTGTGTGCGGTGTGGTGTGGCTTGCCTTACCTCTGCAGTCAGGACATACACTTCAAGATAGCGCTAGAGACTTTGTGTCTCTACTCACTTTGATTGCGATTTCACATTTCTCAGATTCTGAATGGGTTTTGGATAATGATTCCGTGCCCTGAGTACACTTAAAGTGCTCAGGTATGCTAGGCAACTTTGCTACCTTGGGGCTAAATCCCCAGGCCTTCTTTATAAACAACAACAAAGGCAACCGTTTTACTTTGAGATGGTCTCCTTAAGTTGCCAAGCTGGCATTGAATTCACTTGGTAGTCTAGTAGACCTTCAACTTGAGACCTCAGAATCCCAAGTAGCTAGGGTGAAGTTGGAGAAAGGTACTACATTTCTTTTAGAAAGCTCCAAATGGTATCCTTTCCGGGGAAAGTACTACTGACAGCAATCCGTAAATGTATGGATTTCTGTCCTTCTGCTCTGGCTGCCTAACCATTTATGCTAGGAATCAAGGACGGCACATACAGTTTCTCGCAGATGCTGGTTAAAAATTTCATACCAAGGATAGAGTGTACATGCACAGGGCACATACGCATATGTATGCTTTAGATTTGTCAGTTTGGGCTAGCCCCAACCCTGTAAATGCCCTCTCTCTGAGTTTCAATCTGTGTCATTTTCTTTTTCTACTGGAAAAAGAAAAACAGAACTGACAGGAAAGAAAAGCAAGTTTGACTCAACACTAAGATTACTCTTTACAGCAACCAACATGGCTGATGGACTTGCCCCTCCTCCAGGTGGTAGTTTAGACTCAGTTTTGATTATTGTTACCAGTAGGACTTTTTGATTGCTTCCAGCCCCTGAGATATTTTCTTAATGAGAGAATTCTCTTTCCCCTCCATCCCCTCTCAAATCTTCCCCTCCCCATGTGTATATTTAATGAGTGTGTATGGAGATTGAAAGTCAACATTAAGTATCTCCCTCAATGACTCTTCATCTTATTTTCTTGAGAGAAGCTTTTTTTTTACTGAACCTAGAGCTTGCTGATTCGCCTAGGGTGGCTGGACTGCAAGCCCCAAGAATTACCCTGTCTGTTTCCCCAGTGCCGACACACGACTTTTTCATTCGGGATCTGGAGGACACTACTCGGGTCTTCATGCTTGCATCACAATAGATCCACCATCCCTAGTTTGAGGAATTTTCCTGTGTTGCTAATTCCTGAAATTTCAGACTGTATGATTCATTCGTCATTGACCAATATGAATTTGACACAGTTATAGAGTAAGGAGCCATAAGAATTTGAATGACTTTTGTGCAAAACCTCCCTTATTTGAACAATTAATCTTTTGGTGTATTTCCAAATAAATTACTATTCCCTACTGTTCCCAGTTTGTCACCATGGCCAATGTGTATCCAGGTTGAAAGAGGGCCTGGCATTACTGGACCAGCACACAATCTTAAGTTGCTGAGAAAGCAAGAGACAGAAATTGCCATTATGAAAGGAAAAGTTGGTGCCAATAAATATACTTTATATAAGCTTTCATGTTAGAGATGTCTTAAAGAACCCAGATTTGAGTGTGTTTTAAAAGCAATAGATTTTGGGTGGAATTTAGTGGCTGATAACTCGCTTGACATCCTTGAGCTCCTGGGTTCAATCCCTCAGAAGGGTAAAACATACTTAAAATTTTGAGAAACCTATAAGTTGCTTAAATACACATTTTTGCTTATTTTCCCAAGGAACTCCAACTCTATAGCTAGAAAAGAGAAATTGGAAATAACTTCACTTGGATTTATGTCTTCAGGATAAAAATAATTAAAAAATAGATTTAAAGATTAGTTCTCCATAAGGAATATAAATATATATATGTATATATATATATATATATATATATATTTCCTGAACAAGGTGAAGAGACCTGTGTGGATTTAGTAGGAAGTTTATTGTATCCTTGAACAACAGTGAAACATTGATCAGAACTTTGATCCTAGGACTGAATAACAAGAAGGAAGCATAGACATGCTTTGAGTAAGTATCCTGTCGGATAGAAATGACCACTTTTATCTTCAAGATTAACATTTAAAGACAGAAAATACTAGTCTCATTAACACATAAGGAAATTAAGGCACGGAAAAGTTAGTGACGATTGGTGGCCGAAACTAGGTTTCAAACTATATTTGCTCTGAGTTTTCCCTCAATTTTGTTAGTGGAACTTCATGTGACAATAGTAATACTGCCACTTTCAGGGAACATTTTTATTAAGTACCAGGAATTGTGCTGAGAGCTTTAAAGGCATGGTTCCATTTCATTATCACAACAGACCTGTGAGGTAGGGGTTATTTCCACTGTTGAGATGAAAAGCTGATAGGTCATATGGGATTTCCTGCCTTCCTCCCCCATCCCCAGGCATGGAACAGTAAGGGCAGCAGGGTTCCCTGCATTTCTAGTTTAGGCTAGAAAAATCCATGATTGGACCTGCAGGGCCATAGGGTACCACTCCCCTGGCCATCATGATCATGACCTTGCTTAGCCTGTCACAGATCAAGTCACTTCTGCTGGGTGACACATATTTCCCACACCACTTGAACCAGTAACCACTAAGATCCTTAGTATGTTTTTCTTCCACAGGTGCTTACAGGATCACAGGGAAATGTTCATACCCAAGAGACTGATAGCATCTCCAAGGCAACCATGTTGAGGAGGAATGTTCGTGAGACGGAGACTAGCTGCCCAGAAGGATTATATCGTGGGGGTGAATTTTGCTGTCAACCATGCCAGCCTGGTAGGTCACACGAAGCATCCAGAGATGATTAGGAGAATCAGGGTGAGGGATTGAGATGATCTAAGGTAAGAATGTGTTGGACAGTTACGTATACAGTTACTGGCTGTCCCATAGTGGATAACATCACAAGGGGGAGGGGGGACTATAAAATTATCTTCCAAACATGAACTGTTTTTTTTTTCTTCATCTTCATTTTGCTTCTCTGGGGGTGCTTATGAAGAGACATAGTTTACAAATGTTATACATGTCTAAAATGTGAAGAATCATCTACTTAGCTGTTTCTCATGAGCTAAGGAAAACTCATTTGTGAGGGTTAAAAGCCTATCATCTCAGAGCTGACCAGGTTGCATGTGACTGCTTCTGGGCCTCCTTCAGCAAAGACCTTCCACCCTCAGTGGTATATCTCAACCCCTCCCCTCAGTCTATCGCTAAGGCTCTCTCTCTCTGTCCTGGCACAGAAGCTTGCAAAATACATTTGCATTTTGCAGCTGAATAACCAGTTGAGCTAGAAAAGCAATGAACAGCAACCAACAGTTTTTCAAAAATCAGTGTTTTGAAATGCAAATCACTTACAGACTGGAACTTTTTCAAGCACCAGCAAACGAGAGGCTAAGGAAAATGTAATTCTGTAAACAGTTTCCACTTTGGGGTTGTCCACAGTCACCGCAAATATGGGTCTGTCTCAGGTGCATTGCAAAGATAAAAAGGTGACCCAATGGCATTGTTTGACAGGTTTCAGGAAATAGTCATAAACCCCCAAAAGGCTTCTGTAGGCTTCCTTGTTGGCCTCTCAGACTTTCAGTACCAGAAGTACAAAGCAAGACCAGGTCATGCACCTACAAAGACTCCAACAGTCATCATGGAGCACCCTCCTGTCCAGGTTTTACTAAGTCTAGCAAGAAAGTCTCCCCTATGATGCAACCTCCTTATACCTAAGTTCCTACACAGTTACTGTTTTCCAAACAGCAATTGGGAATCACCCATTGGATTTTTTTTCTTAAGTTGCTGAAGACAATCAATTTAGCCTATGAATTTTTTCTTAGAGACAGGGTTTCTCTGTGTAGCTTCGGAGCCTGTCCTAGAACTCTCTCTGTAGACCAGGCTGGCCTTGAACTAACAGAGATATGCCTGCCTCTGCCTCCCAAGTGCTGGGATCAAAGGCACCACCTGGATTAGTCTATGAATTTTAAGTCTATGTTTATAGTTTGAAATTTTGGAATTTTATGTTTAAAATTTAAAGTGCAAGCTAAATCAAAGATGATGTGTTTTGTAGCTTTCAAAGATTTCTGCTGTGTGTTCATACTGTACTTTTGTCTTAGGGAAATCTCATGTCTGCTGCAAACTCTTAAGAAGGAAAATGGGCCATGTGTTGAGAACTGGACAATGTCATTGCCCAGTGACACAGCAATGGGTTATTTATAGCAGAATGCATTAAAAATTGAAAGTTTTGTGTGTATGCCATTTCATTTTGATAACCAACAATGTAGGATTGTGCATGTAAATTCTGGAGTAATCAATGGCTAGAAGAGTTTCTATTAACCAGAGTCTAAGTGCATCAGCATTTCTGATATATGTTTAATCTAATCCTCGATTGTACTGATTTCTCTTAGCAGTTGATAACTGGCATTCTGGCTGTGCTAAAGGTTTTTCTCTGTCTGCCCCTTCACTAATTTATCCCACATGGTATTAAACATACACAGAACTTATATCACCACTATTCTCTCTGGTTGAGTTTTAGGCTTACCAACATTCAAGTTAGGTTCAAATCCTTTTACAGTGTCGGTGATCTGGTAGTAATATATATTAATGATGATATAAATTATTGAATATCAGATATTGGGGAATTAATTTCATCTTTAAGAAAACCAGGCTGAATATTTGGGAGAACTTCAGGAATTCATCCAGATTGTTGGTGTGATAAAGCTTTCTTTTTCATCAAAGGGAAGAAGAATGGGAGAAGGGGTTGGAGGGAAGCTTAAAAGAAACCTTAGGTGATGCACTGTGAATGTGACTTAAGTGAAAAGAGTCTACAGCTTATCTCTATGTCAAATGATTGGCATACTTTTATAGAGACTCTTTAAAATAAAAATAAAATACATTTTTCAGTGATCACACATGTGAACTGTTATTTTTGGTTGATAATAATACACTGTGCACATATACAGAAATTAAAAAAAAAGAATAAAAATTAAATACTTGAGAAGTTTTCATCACATCTTGCTATCTAATAGGAAAATTCCAACAGTGTATTTCTTATTTATTATATTTACATATAAACACATATCTGCTGCCTCTATACTACTATATATACATATATGTATATATAGTGATTTGGATGCATAAGAATGCAACAAAATAAAAATATCTCAAGGTAGTTGGTATGTAGGTGTTTCAAATAATTTCCCATTTCTTCCAAAATTTTTAAATTTTTTTTTAATTTTAAATAGCTTGTTTTACATGTCAATCCCAGTTCCCTCTCCCTCACCTCCTCCCGCAACCCCCCCACTATCCCCCCCCCATCCTCCCACCCTATTGCCAATTCCTTCCGCATAGGGGATATCTAGAGTTTATCATTTCATTCAGGGTAGGGTCCAGGCACTTCCCTAAGAGTCCAGGCAGAGAGAGCAACCCTCTTTGTGTTATGGAGCAAGCATGTGGCTATCAGAAAATGATGTGTTTTGAAATCCTGTTTTTTTGTTGTTGTTGTTGTTTTTTAATAACTTTTTTTGTAGTTTAGAAATTTAGATTGTATACTTTAAGGGAAATATTCTTAATTGTTGAAGACGGAGTTTCTGTCTGCACGGCCCCACCACCCTTCGGTTCCAAATAAACACACAGAGCCTTATATTAATTATAAACTGCTTGGCCGATGCAAGGCTTCTTACTGGCTAGCTCTCTCTTAATTATTAACCCATTCGTATTGAAATATTTATTGCCACAAGGCTGTGGCTTACCCATAATGTCCCTGCATGTTACTCCCTTGGTGGTGTCTCTCTGGCTGCTCATGCTCTGTGTCCTCTCCCAGAATTCTCCTAGTCTGGTAGCCCCGCCTATACGTTCTGCCTGGCTTCTGGCCAATCAGCATTTATTCATCAACCAATAAGAGAAACATATATTTACAGCATACGGAATGACATCCCCCATCAAATAGTATTCATGTAAAACTTGGCACAATCTATAAATTAGCTTATTAGATACTTAAGTTCACTTAGCAGTGTCCTACCACCTGCAAGGGACAACGCCTCCTCTGCTCTGTCTCCAGCAGAACACTGCTGTAAAAGGTTGTGTAGCTCTGATGTGCCATTTGAATTTTGCTCCAAATTTTCATGATCTAGTTTTTAAAATAGACTTGTTTGTGCTTACTGAAAGATCACAGGATGTCATTTATATTTTCATGTAATAACTGGCTTTACATAGTAAATGTTGTTCAACAATAAGAATGCTATGAAGAGATTCACCAAGTCATGGAGTAGGAAACACGACATGGATAACATTTGCTGTTCTGTGCACATTGGACAGGGTTGACCGCGTTTGTCTGTTACCATCATTTACGCCATTAACGACGAGATTGCTAGGACTGCATCTCTGCTGCACTTCCCTGTGTATTTTGCTAGGACTGCATCTCTGCTGCACTTCCCTGTGTATTTTGCTAGGACTGCATCTCTGTTGCACTTCCCTGTGTATTTTGCAGCACGTTGCTCCTTATTCACCAGCCACTGCCACTTGCTGTCACTTGGCATCTCTGCCTGAGAAGGTGAAGGCCCCGGAAACTTATGCTTTTTCTTACTTCCTGCAGGACTTCCTTCAGCTCCTAGAGATCCCTTAGCATATAATAGGCACTTTAAAAACACGTGTTCAATGTGTTATCTTTCCAGAATGCACTGTTCTATAATACTTAGTCACAGAAATAGAATGACTTACTTCAATAAATCAAAGCAAAGATGAGTATTATTTCAAACCGTTTGCAATAATAATAAATCCTATGGTATTTTCACTAGAAACAAACGTTTGTGTTTGTCTACAAAATGTACTGCTTTCCTGGGTAGAAAATAGATAGAAAGGGGAGAGAAGACAGAATTGTGGCTATTTATTTGGTGGCATGTGCTCAGTTCATGTAGTAATGACAGAGAAGTCTTCATCATTTATGTGACAAAAAATTAGGCTTACAGACAGTAAGCACTGTGCCAAAGATTTGATGGAGATTTCTAGAAACTCCCAATGTTCTTTTGCTTAAACTGCATTGTCTATGACCAGGATTTGTAGACTTGGGAAGACAAAATGAGAATAAGAGCAAGTTTGTTTGGTACTCTCAGAGGTCAAGGGCTGTCACCTCTACCATCTATCTAGTTTCTTCTCTTTAGAGAGGTATATTTGGTCACTCTGATTGACTCTTTCCCCATGTGTTTCTGTTGCTAACTATCCTACTTTTTATGGGAATATTTTTTGCCTTTTGGTTTTGAAAGGCTCTTAATGTGATTTTCTCCCCAGTAGCTGTTTGTCTGTCCCATTGCATTTGCATATAATTAGCCTAACATGTTATTCCCTGGTTTTAAGTTTTGTTATTATCATCTTTGCATACTTCTCATGATGTTGTTACAAAACTTTAATATCTTTTTTCCCATAATAGGTAAACGAAAACATTTAGACTGTACAACCAGTGGTGGTAAACCAATATGCCTTCCCTGTGCAGAAGGGAAAGAGTACATGGACAAGGAACATTATTCTGATAAATGCAGAAGATGTGCACTGTGTGACGGAGGGCATGGTATGTATCTAAGAAAGCAACTGAAAGAGACTGATCTCGATATCATGCATGACACTGGAGATTGGTACCTACTCTGGGACCATGCTGGCATGCAGGAAGTAGCAGAATGAGGCTACCTGGGTAATGTGGAGCTAAGGTAGTAATCACTTTTAAGGGTCTTCTCAGCAATTCCCCAAAATGGAGACAGGACTAAATAACCCTATGTGTAGAGACACACCAGCTGCAATCAAGCCACCCATAGAAGCCATTTTCCCCCACCTCTTTTAAACTGGTTTTGTGGCTCTTGTCCACTATACAGAGAAACCCAAGGTATAGAGAGGATGTGCCTCATCTTTGTGGATCTGGTCTGTCAACATCATTCTACTTGGGGACCTAAATTCTTGTAGTTATTTCAATCTATTCTCAAATCTGAGAAGAAAGCAAAACAAAATGACAACAACTACCATATTTTGGTTTGATATCAAGAAAACTCTGGGCATCACATTTTAAAGCTCTTTCTCTCTCTCTCAGGCATAAATCTTTTACATCAAACTATTTTTACATTAGAGCTGCTTAAGGAGCTATTGAAATACTAATGCTTAGGTCTCAGCTCCCAGCTAAATCAGAATTTTCAAGTGGAGCCTGAATATGTGTCTGTTTAAACCTAGTTTAGGCTTACCATGTAGCATTCCTATATGCTAGACATGATGATGATGATGATGATGGCGGCGGCGGTGGTGATGGTGGTGGTGGTGGTGGTGGTGGTTTCCAGGCCATGTATTTAAAACTCAAGGCTTTCAATTAAAGGAACAGAAGGGCCACGGAAGCACTGGTGGGGAGTGTTTGGCTTTCTCAATTACCTATCCACTAACAACTCTACTTGATTGCTGGTCCTTTCAACTTGATACTACTGGTTTTTGTTAGTAAACACTGTTATTAAAGGTGTGATAGTATGACAGTTGATAATAAGCAGTAGGTGTGGCTACTATTTTCATAGCTTATTTTTAACTAGCTGCTATGATTAATAATTTATGAACTGGCTTTCTAGGTTTAGAAGTGGAAACAAACTGTACCTGGACCCAGAATACCAAGTGCAGGTGTAAACACAACTTCTATTGCAATGCTTCTGTCTGTGAACACTGTGACCCTTGCACCTCGTAAGTTTCAGTATTAAGTGCCTAAAACACTAGCTATAACTTGGGATATCCTACTTTCCCAAAGAAGAGTGGGAGTTAGGAACTGAGTTCTGTTCCTGTCTCCCATTTGCTCAGTTACCACCAATCAGCACTGGACATCACTGAGCAGTCTCTGAACATTACCAAAACTGTTCAAATGACACTGCTGGCTGCTTAGATTAGTGATGGGAGGCATGAGACTATCATCAAGGTTTTGGTTCTCAGAGCAAAGAAAGCCAAAAAGCCAATGTGTCTTGCATGTCTACATTTTATGGTGTATAGCAAGCCTAGAACATTTGTGCTTGGAGTGGTGCAAGTTATGCATAAGACCTTTTGACTCTGTGTGAAAGGTGGGAGTCTTAAGGAAGCAAGAAACAGCATTACACGTAGGTGGGAGTGTGTTCAGGCAGGGAACGACAGTTCTAAAGAGGCATAGGTAACTCCCATATCTGCTGGAGGGTAGAAAAGCCTGAAAAGGAATTGGATCATGAGGGTTTTGCCATAATGCTAAAGGGTTTGCTTTTGATTCAAATCTAGAAAACCTGGCTGCAATGTTCACCTGTCTGCTGATAAATTTGGCGAGTTTGAGCAGATCACTTAACCCATCTGAATTTCAGTATATTTAATTAGCTGCACCCACCTGCCACATTTCTCTGGAGATCACACTAGCTACTACGATTTGTAGGCCCAGTGTTGGCATGTCAGGGTACAAGGTCTTGGGCTCAATTCCCAGCACTGAAAGAAAAGTAGCTATTGGTTTGTAAGATGTTGGTTTTCTATAGAATGCTTAGATCTGCTATTTCCCTGCCATTGCATAGGTCTGAAACTTGCCTTTGGAACCTATGGGCATTCTTTTTTTTTTCCAGGTGTGTGTGTGTGTGTGTGTGTGTGTGTGTGTGTTTTCAAATTACATTGATGTTAAGGAAAGAAAATACAGTTCTTCTTTGTCCTTGAATGTTTACGTATACACATTAACATATACATAGATACATATATATGTATACATGTACAAATTCACATATACATACATTATATTAAGCCACCTACTGTATGAGTTAAGTGGGACCACCTTGCTTTGGAGAAATCAAGATTACATATACTTTTACATTTAGATATTAGCTCTACATGGCAACTTTGATAAGCTCACTTGTTTTCAAGCCAAGAAGTGTTTCTTTTGTTTTTAATGTCAGATTTCAATTAGGATCAGGCAGGAATTTCTTTAGATAATTTTTATGTATGTCTTGATTTGATTCACTGTATTCTTAGGTTTTCTGATAATTTTGATATGTAACTGTTATAACTGTGGTGATCTGAAAAACGCAGTCTTTCTATGAAACATCTGGACAGAGACAGCACATTATGAGAAATCAAGGGTTAGTTGTGTCTTTTCCTCAAATTATGAATTACCTAGATGTTTCTTAACTGATGTTCCCATGATTAGGAATTTCTTATGAATGAATCATATTCTCAATGAAGATAATTTACCTGTCCATAATCCATATTGAACATAAAGTATACATATAAAATATAGGTCAGAGATTTCTCCTTTGAAATATTAACAATCTATTATTAATATCTGAAAAGATAATTATTTTACTAAAATATCATGTACTATCAACATTTTCCTATTAAATAATCTGCCTCATTTTTGAAAACACCCATCTCTCTAGGACTGAGCATCCATGACCCAACCTCACATAGTTTACTTTTTTATTATTTAAATTAGAAACAAGCTCGCTTCACATGTCAATTCCAGCACCCTCTCCCTTCCTTCCTCCCCCGCCCCCACCAAACTTTCTAACTCACAGTTTACTTTTTTAAAACAAAGTTTCAATAGTTTTCTGAAGCTGCAAATGGTTGTCAGAGACCTGATGCTTCCTATCTTATTTATTAGAAAAATCATTTGTTTTTGACGTCTTCCTTTCCAATTTGTATCCCCTTGATCCCCTTTTGTTGTCTTATTGCTCTAGTTAAAACTTCAAGTCCAATACTGAAGAGTATGGAGAGAGTGGATAACCTTCTCTTGTTCCTGATTTTAGAGGAATCACATTGAGTTTCTGTCCATTTAGTTTGATGTTGGCTGTTGGTTTGCTGTATATAGCTTTTATTATGTTTAGGTATGTTCATGTTACTCCAAATCTCTCCAAGACCTTTATCATGAAGGGGTGTTGGATTTTGTCACAGACTTTTTCAGCATCTAGTGAGATGATCATGTGATTTTTTTGTTTCTGAGTTCATTTATATGGTGGATTACATTGATGGATTTTCTAATGTTAAACTATCTCTGCATCCCTGGGATGAAACCGACTTGAGCATGGTGGATGAATTTTCTGATGTATGCTTAGATCTGATTTGCCAGTATTTTATTGAGTATTTTTGCATCAATGTTCATGAGGGATATTGGTCTGAAGTTCTCTTTCTTAGTTGTGTCTTTGTGTGGCTTAGGAATCAAGGTTATTGAAGCCTTGTAAAAAGAGTTTGGCAAAGACCTTTCTGTTTCTATTGAATGGAAAACTTTGAGGAGAATTAGTATAAGCTGTTCTTTGAATTTCTGGTAGAATTCTGCACTGAAGCCATCTTGCTCTTGGACTTTTTTGGTTGGGAGAGTTTTGATGACTGCTTCTATTTCCTTAGGGCTTATAAGTCTATTTAAATTGCTTATCTGTTCTTGATTTACTTTTGGAAAGTGATAGCTATCCAGAAAATTGTCCATTTCCTTTAAATTTTTGAATTTTGTGGAGTACAGGTTTTCAAAGTATGACCTGATGATTCTTTGGATTTCCTAAGTGTCCATTGTTATGTCCCCCTTTTCATTTCTGATTTTTGTTAATTTGCATGTTATATTCACACTCTGTCATTTGGTAAGTTTGGATAAAGGTTTGTCTGTCTTGTTGATTTTTTCAAAGAACCAAATTTCGTTACATTGATTCTTTGTATTCTTTTCCAAGTTTCTACTTTATTGATTTCAGCCTTCAATTTGATTATTTCCTGCTGTCTACTCCTCTGGGGTAAGTCTGCTTCTTTGTGTCCTAGAGCTTTTAGTTGTGCTGTTAATTTTCTAGTGTGACTATTCTCCAGTTTCTTCTTGTGGGCACTTAATGTTATGAACTTTCCTCTTAGCACTTCTTTCAAAGTGTACCATAAGTTTGTATATGTTGTGTCTTCATTCTCATTGAATTCTAGGAAGCCTTTAATTTATTTTTTGTTTCTTCTTTAACCCAGGAATGGTGCAATTGCACATTATTCAATTTCCATGAGTTTGTAGGATTTTTTCAATATGTGTTGTTGTTGAATTCTAATGTTGATGCATGTGGGTCTGATAAGGTACATGGAGTTCAATTTTTTTGTACCTGTTGAGGTTTGGTATGTTGCCAATTATGTGATCAAGGTTCCATGTGGCACTGAGAAGAAGGTATATTCTTTTGTGTTTTGATGGAATGTTCTATAGATGTCTGTTAAACACAACTGGGTCATGACTTCTATTGGTTCCTTTGCTTCTTTGTTAAGTTTCTATCTGGTGGTCCCATCTAGTGGTGAGAGTGGAGTGTTGAAGTCTCCTACTATTATTGTGTGAGGTTTTACGTGTGATTTGAGTTTTCCAGATGCTATGATAGGTTACATAAGTGACTCAAAAAACTCTACCAGTGAACTCCTACAGCTGATAAATACCTTCAGCAAAGTGGCAGGATACAAAGATCAACTCAAGAAAATCTTTAGCCCTGTTATATACAGGCAACAAAAGGGCTGAGAAAGAAATCAGAGAAACATCACCCTTTATAATTGCCACAAACAACATAAAATACCTTGGGCTAATGCTAACAAAACAAGTGAAAGACCTGTATCACAAGAACTTTGAGTCTTTCAAGAAAGAAATTAAAGAAGACAGAAGAAATGGAAAGATCTTCCATGGTCTTGGATAGGTAAGATCAACCTAGTAAAAATGGCAATCTTGCCAAAAGCAGTCTACAGATTCAATGCAACCCCCATTAATATCCCAGCACAATTCTTCACAGACCTTGAAAGAACAATTCTCGAGGGCTGGTGAGGAGGAGGGGAGGGAGAGGGAGCTGGGATTGACATGTGAAGCAAGTTTGTTTCTAATTTAAATAAATAAATAAGAAAATCATTTGTATTGTTCCCTTTCCTCTCCTCTCTAGCTCCAAGTGTCTAAGAGTGATGAGGGGCAAGGTAGGAATGGCGGGAAAGTTAGTTAACTTGGTCAAGCAATAACAGGATAATAGCTCTGTAGGCTTTATAATTACGATTCGCTTTTCTTCTCATCGGCACTCTGAGGTATAGTGTAATTATCTCCAAGCTGCCGGTGAATTTGCAGTCTCCTGGAGGTTACCTGATCTCTCAGCACACCTGCATAGGCTTCAGGAAGAGGTGGGCTGTGAACTTGGACTGTTAGAGTGTACCTATCTGAAGAAAATCCCACAAGTGCCTCTTGACTGTCCTGATCACTGCCTGCTGGGGCCCTGGGCAACATCCTAGGTAGTGACTACCTTCAGGCCATTTTAATGATTTATAAGACTTTTTAATTTTGCTTTGAAATTGCCCTTCATAAGTTATTTTTAAATAGCTTATTTTAAGCTCTTGTATCTTAAGAATTCAATTCATTACCAATTTCAAGTTTATTTTTGTCTATCCCTTTCTTTTGTATATCAGTATTTTATTACCTTTTAAAACTCTTGATGTCACTTGGATTTTTAGTTTTACATTTTAAATACATGGCACAGGAATAAGCATGTAACTGAAATGGTGGGGAGACCAGAAGATGCTGTTGGATGCTCTGGAGCTGGAGTTAGATGTGGTCGTGAGCTGCTCAGTGTGGGTTCTGGGAACTGAACTCTGATCCCCTCCACAGGCAGCAAGCACTCTTAACCACAGAGCCAATTCTCTAACTCCTATATCTTAAAGCAGATATGACATTGTTAAACCGAACACCCAATCACAGTTCTTAGCTTGTACCAGCTTTTGGTGGTGATCTAGAAACGTCTGAGAGGGAACAAGTGCAGGACATGAAGTGGCAAATAAAATGAACCCTATTTGTAAATGTTCAACGAAAAGATGGAAGGAATCTACGCAGGTCTTCTAAGTTTCTTCTGCCTTTTCCCCCTAGGTGTGAACATGGAATCCTTGAGGAGTGCACACGAACCAGCAATACCAAATGCAAGCAAAAAAGTAATCATTTGTTTTTATGTCTACATCCCTTCCCCATCCCCATCATCATGTCAGAATAAAAGCTCATTGGCTTGTTATTGATTGAGAAGGCAGAGCTTTACATTGTCTTAAGAGCTGCTTAACTTCATATAAAATGACCAATATTCTCCACCACAGGTTCCAAATACCGTCTCCTATGGTTGATCATCATTCCTGTTTTGGGAGTAACTTTTGGTAAGTCCTCTATCTATTTGTTTAAAATATACATTGAAATGGCATGAGAAGTAGCCACTGTGCCCAATGAAAAACTACAGAAAGCCAGGTAGAGTGTGACAATGACACCTGGTGAACATGACCTTCTCTGGGCCTGCCCTCCCTCAATAAACCATTTGTTTTAATGTATATTTAGTTTGAATGTTTATTTATTTTTAATTACTCTATTATTTTGTGTCTTTAAAATCTATGACATGTTTGCCAGTAGTCAAGGGGAAGCTGGGTGTCATCATAGTTATTCTGGAAAATCACCTTGAAGCCTGGCAATGATAAGACCCACCAACTTTCAGTGACTCAGAATCTTCTAATTTTTCCTTCTTTGTTGGAACCAGTAACTGTCCCTTCAATTCACTTCTCTTAGCATGAGAAATTCCTATCAGAATGGAATGTGAGTCTGATAGCCATCTTTTTTGGTCTTTCAGTGTTTATATATAAAAAGTATTGGAAAAGACGTCAGGATGACCCTGAATCTGGCATCTCAAATCCTGTGAGTATATAAAGTCACATTGACTTCCTTTAAAGGAAAGAAAGGAAGAAGGAAAGAAAGAAAGAGAGAAAGAAAGAAAGAAAATTAGTATATTCTTTAAAACAAAAAATGTGGATACACAAAGTTGCATCAGCTTTCTTGAGAAAACAACAAAATAAAGGAAGAAACAAACAAACGAAATTAGTACATTCTTTAGAAAAAATGTATCTCTCAATAAAAACATAAAATAAAATAAGATAAAAAAGGTGTTTGTCCACGCACAGGTTAGAGCAACATTAATATTGAGCTAACACAGCAGCAGCTAACTTATTAGTAAGTTTTTGTGGGGCGCTACACAATAGCATCTATCCCTCTAGTCATTTGAGTGGAGATGGAGCCTGTAGTGACCCTGCGCACTCTCAGTCGGGCAGCACCATGAAGCATGGTATTGAAAAGCAATATGGAATGTGGTGTTAAGGACTCTTTTACCAGTTTTTCAAGGGAAGAAGTTGTTTTTGGACCCCTTACTGACCCAGAAGAGCACTCAAACTAGAAGCAGAGTTTATCAGCCTGTGTTTACTTGTTGCCTTCAGCATTTACAGTGGATAGTTGTCAAGGTTGCTGCCAGTCACTGGCTGTTTCCAGGGAATGATGTCAGACTGAGTCGTCACAGCACTCATGCACACACACATTATCTATCTGGGCGAGGGACGTGATAAAGGAGTACAGTTTAAGATTAAAGGTATTCATTACAGTTAGCTTGTAAAAAATGTCTGTGGGGGGGAGTCCCAGGCCTTGGATTGGTTGCATTGTTTTCTCAAAAGTGGGTTAAATCTACACAGTAAGGAAATAGAGTGAATAGACAGTTTTAAATAGTTTCAAAGCGTATTACTAAATTGGGTGAAAAAAAAAGTTGGACTTCTGAAGGCAAGCTTACAAGGGTATTTTTCTAGAATAAAATAAATCTTTACAAGGCTTTAGACAAATCCTATAAGGAGCAATGAAGGAACTTGGAAGCCTTCCGGTGTGACCTGGAAAAGGGATGTGCAAAATGCCAGGTTTCACCTTGCTATTTTCCCTGCAGAAACATCAATTGCCAAAATATGGTACTCAGATTCCAGAACCCAGCCGAGGCTTTGCTCTTAAAGTCCACCTAACAGCCACAGTATGGCTCTCTCTAGCTAGCTGCAGAACTAATGCTAGACAGTATCTAACACAGGAGGATGGAACCTTTCAGAATCAAAATTGAATGAGTGAAAGAAATCATCTTAACCACAAAGTCTAATTTCCTAATTATGTATATCTAGCAGGCAATTGTATGACATTTCTTTCTGAATTTAGAAAGAATTAAATGATATTTAAGTATGTATTTGTTTCTTTGCCTTTGTCTTATTCTTCCCAGGAAAACAAGCCAATGATTTTCCCAGGTAAGTCTTTCTATTTTTATTTCACAGAAGTGACTTCTTTGCCAGAACAAGCCTAAATCAGAACAGACTTTAATATTTTCGAGTGAAATAATGCTTGAATTCCAGTGACACTTTAGGCTGTCACTTAAACTGTCAGTTCTAGCAAGAGTTTGAATTTATAATAATCTTAATTAAAAATAAACTAGGGAGTGATAAGACAGTTTATTGTGAGAGGTTTAAGATAAATTTTCTAGATGACCAGTTAGCTGTATCACAAAACTTCTTATAAACTGATGTCCAAGTCAAATGCAACCATAGCCTCAGTTAGCATTTTCTCCCCTCTGCAACAACACGTCCAATTCTGTTTGGTTATATCCTTTGACCTGTGACTCGGAGACTGGAAGACCTGTCCTTTTAGGTTGTGGGTTTGGTCATCAGGTCTCTAGGGGGCATTAGATACGATCCCTTTTTAAGCTTCTGATTTCACAAATGAGATAAGAAGACATAAAGATATCGCGTGTCACGGCCAGCTCAGAGAATCAGCTATAGGAGTCACAACAGGCTTGGGAGGACAACACAAGTTTATTCTGTCTGCATCTATAGGACCCACCCATACTCCAAATTTTAAGGGGAGAAGTAAACATGGTGTCAGTAATGGAATGACAGAATGACATTTTCAGAGGCTATTTTCTGTTTTTCAGACGTTGACTTGAGTAAATACATCCCGGATATTGCTGAACGCATGGCATTAGATCAAGTTAGAAAATTTGTTCGGGAGAATGGGATCCCTGAAACAAAGATAGATGAGATCAGGAATGACTATTTCCAAAACACAGCTGAGCAGAAAATCCAGATGCTTCAGTGGTGGTATCAATCTCATGGGAAGAAGGATGCATATCACACTTTAATTAAAGGCCTCAAAAAAATCAACTGTTGTGCTCTTGCAGAGGAAATTCAGACCAAGATCCAGAAAGACATTGAAAACTCAACTTCAGACAACAGAAATGAAAATGAAAGACAAAGACTTGAATGAAAACTACTTCAGTTCCAGCTATCAAGAGAGAGAGAGAGAGAGAGAGAGAGAGAGAGAGAGAGAGAGAGAGAGAGAGAGAGAGAGAGAGAGAGAGAGAATCTTTTAATCCAGTACTGTGGCTGGTATCTAAGTCAGGAGCTTGCCATGAGTTCAAAGCCTGACTGTACAACATAGTGAGCTCTGGACTAGCCTGGATCATAGAGTAAGACCTTGTCTCAAAAATAACAAAAGAAAAAAAGTACAAGGCAAAGAAGAACATTTTTAATAATGGAAGTCTATAAATGTTGCTTGACTTCTTATTGAGTGTGTTTTCTATTTCCTCAGATTTATAGAGACAATATATTTATAAAATTTGAAGATTTCATGATTCTATTTTGAGTAATGTTGATATGTATGTGGAGGATGGACAGGCGCAAAAGTAACTGCAGTAGTAATTTATGTACCCAGATAGAAATCTACACAGAAGCATATAAACTTAACACCATGCTCTCTAGCCAAGAGTGTAGTTAGTGTGTGCTAGGCCACCCCATTCTACGGTCACAAAAGACATGGCTATAAAGTCTCCTACACAGTTTGTCCTAACCCAAACTCTAAAATAACCCTAGAGATTTTGCCATAGATAGAGAGTTGGCTAGCCATCCTTTGAACATATACATGCAAAGCTTGCACATGCATTTAAATGAAGAATTAAATAAGGTTCTGTCTCAAAGATATTTTTTGTGCAGACAACTGGTGGATTGTGATGTAATATTTCTGATCTAAATGTGTGTGGAAAATGTAGAATAAATCCGAATGCTTGAATATATTCTATTTATATACCATTTTATTATTCCAAAATAATTTGCTTATTTCTCAGGTGTCAAAAGTGCTTTTGAATAGGTGTGTATCACTCCAGTCACACTACCTCTCGTTTTCTCTTTGTTGTTCAATCTGATACAGCCTTATGCACTCCTAAACTTGGAAACATTCCTAAAGAAATAACGGTCCCCCACAAAGCTAGGACTGCCATTGTAATTCTAATCTGTTTCAGTAGGAGGACTACATTGCTTTTCTAGAGGGTAGCTGTAGGCCATGTTATGGACTCTTGCCTACCTCCAATAGTGGGGACACAATGAAAGCCCACTTTGTTGCCATTTGGCAACTCCTGGTATGTTCACTTCCCCTACAAATGACAACTGATGCCCAGAAAAGGTAAAATGGCCAGAAGGTTCCAAGAATTGCTTTTGTTCTTCTCTTCTGGTTTGAAACCGTTTCCTCCATCTACTGCTATGTTGTTGCTTTTACATTTAAAGCTCTATGAAAGATGTATTAAATGTGAACTGAAATCTGCAGTGTTTGTGTTTATAGTCATGTACTGTGAACTGAGGAGTTTTAGAAATGGAAACAAATACTTGCAGTTACCTAAAGGTCTTCCACTGATGGGGGATTCTTTACTTCTATGTATGGAAATGTATAATAGAGGAAATAATTTTTTAAATTAAAATACCATTTTGGCATTTCTAGTTCTCTTGCTCATTGTTTTATTTTCCTTCACTCTAGTGACCACTCAAGTGTTACTTGTTAAATGAATCCTCAAAACTTGCTTTGACTTCTGAGGAGGAAATTCCTTTTGTAAAGCCTTTTAACAGTTTAACAGTTTGCTCCATGATTGTTACTGCCAAGAATACTCCCAAATAGAACACAGACATTTGTCAAACTGAATTATCTAGGAGCAAAGTACAAAATACAAGTGTTAAGGTAAGGTTTTTTTTTGTTTTGTTTTTCTTTTGAAAGCGAGCTGCAAGGAGGAAATACTCTAGCTACTTGTGACCACTAGCCCACTAGCTCTCTTCTCTCTCTTTCTTCCCATTAAGCCTGTAAAATCTATCTATTACCTTGGTTTTATTTCTATTTTTGAGTCTATCATCTGAACACTGATATTCATAAAATAATAGCTTTCACGTTAAAATCAAATTTAGCTGAAGCTACTTAATAGTCACATAAAATAAGCACGTTAGTATTTAGGGGAAGTGTGATTATGGCTCATACGTTACCATGTTACCATTTCAAACAACAAAAGGAGGCATTGAGGATCTCCTAATGTGGGAGGTACCTTTTTCTCCCCCTCTTAAGTCAGTGTGAAAAAGCAATCCTCTTTTCCTATCATTGAATTATCTTTCACATCTTTAAAAGTTTTTAATCACAGTAATACATTTATTTAACCCAATGTTTCAGAGAATTTCCATTTTAGCATGCAGTCAGTATTAAAACTATTAACTAGAACAGGAAGAGCAGCTTTGCACAGTAAGGCCATGGATTCAGTCCCCAGCAACACAGTTGAACAAAGCAACTCTCCCTAAAAAATAAACAACAGTCAAACAAAAACACTACTAGCAAAGCACTGTTGATAAGAAAGCTTACATTCACCCATAAAGTGTTAAGTAAACTGTGGCTTGTATTTTAGTTACACCTGCAAGCACATCTCCTTTATGGTTATCCACAATTCACAGATCCAGTGTCCACATGAGGACAGTGGCTACTGCAGAAATCCTTTTCATCTTTCTCTCTGTTATAGAGTCCTAGCCTAACTCTATAGCTACTTAGCTCTACTAGTTTATGTCTGGATTTTCTGGGTATGTGGTCCTAGACAGCTTTCCTGTTGTGGGTTGGAAGTCCAGCATCTCCCATTCATGAGTTATTTGTTTTGGGGAAATGTTTTGCTTACATTCATCAGAAGCTGTTCTTTCACGTAAAATTGTTCTTTGCCTGGCTCTTGGAGCCTCACTGTCTCGGAGGAACATCTGAGTAGATCACAACCTGTTTGTCTGTGTAGCCTGCTTCTCTTGAGGACTCCATTCTATCTAGGCCAATGGTGACAGCCTCCTGAACTCCAACTCTGCCCTTCAGCTTGGCAGGTGACTGCTTTTCTTGAGGAATCTGATTGCGGTGGTCTCAAACCGCCCTTAGGAAGAAAGATTGAGTGGCATCAGGATCTGCCTCCATTTCTCCGCCAAGAGATGACGTTATTGGCTCTCCTGTCCAGATTTCTAGTTGGAAAGAGCAGAAGGGCAAACCCAGTACAGTTGTTGGGCCAGCAATGAAACTCCTGTTCTTCAAGGTGAGATTAGCTGTGAGAACATCCTGTTCCTACTTTGATGAGTTTGAACTTGAATCAAGAACTTTGAGTCCCTTCAAAAAGACTTTGCACTTGAAGACGTGACTCTTTCCTCTCTAGACGCTCCAGGAATGAATGACTGCTCCCACATCAATAATTACAGCTGTGTTCTGGACTCAAGTGGCTTTTGGTCCAAAGTTACATTGCTTTAGTGATCCACATTTTGTGTGGTAGATATCCTGATCCAGAATATCACCCAAATGTCGTTTATGGGCTTCAGAAAATGACTATCAGCAAAAAAAAAGGTCAGAACCCCTGTGGGTGTTGCATCTTACTAAACGTTTTTAGTAAGTCTACAGTATTCTCTGGTGTTTGGTTTGGCCAGGCACCAGGAGTTACTGAATTGCCAATTTCTGTTCAGTGATCTGGATGAGGCACACGTGCAGCATTATTTACAGTTGTTTTCATTGCTTTCTTCTGAATGTAAACTTATCTGAATCAGAATTGTATACCAGGGGCTGGGATGTATCTCAGCAGTAGATGACTTTGAGCCTCCCTAAGGCCCTGGGATCAATCCCTACTCTCAAGAAAAATGAACAAACAAACAAAGAAAGGGAAAGTCTCCATATTGCCAGGTATTTGTAGTCTTCACAGCACTTAAAAACCTGTTCATAAACACTTTCATATTTGTTGCTGATGACAAGCCCACTGCTAGTCTAAATATTCTTTTCTAAGTATCACTTACTTTTCCTGTGGTAGATTTTTGAAACTTCCTCTACTACTCTTCCTTGGTGTTCTGCAGTTTCACTTAAAAGAGTTTCAATGTGGATTGATTTAACTCTTCCTCCTTCTATCTTCCTCCTCCCCATCATCTTCCTTCTCTTCCTGTTTCTCCTTTTCCGTCTCTCATCCTCCTTGTTTTTGGAAGTCTTTCTCTATGGTCTAGGCCAGCCTGAAATTTGTGTCAATCTTCTTGCCTCAGCTTCCTTTGTTGGAATTACAGTGGACTTTTACTTTTAACTCATTTGCGAAGCAGTACATCTTTTTTGAGATGATGAAAAAATTATATCTTTTCTCCTTCCCTTTCCTCTCCAAACTCTCCCATCACCCCCCACCCTCACTCTTTCAAGCTTGTGGCCTCTTTCTCCATTAATTGTTTAATGATGATAGTCAATGCAATAGGGAATACAATATATCTATTTACCAGAGAGAGAAAGAATAACACAAGGTGGGAATCAGAAGTGTGGCCGGCTTCCAAAAGAGGAGGTCCTTTTTCCTTTCACTTCCTTTTATCTCTACCTGTGCTAATTTACTTGTCCCAGCCCTCATGGGCAGATAACTTTGTAGGGTTCACTCCTACAATTGTTGATATATATAGCTCGTTAATTTTCAGGGCTGACTATCTGATATTGGATAACTAGCTACGTGCTCTTCTCTGGGGAATACTACTTCTCCTGCTCTTGGCATTTGTAGTTGTCTGTAGTTCTTTGTGTAGAGTTGAGGCTTCATAAACTTACCTCTAACCACGTTAGCTTGTCCATTGATGTCAGTCTTGTTCAGATCATCTTTAAGCAGTCATGCTGGTGAGATTGCATGGCTGTACTTTCTGGCATTCATAGGAGACACAACAATCACACAGCAAATACTCTGTCCTCTCTTGTGTCTTTTATAAGAAAGCAGAATTGTTTTCTTCTTCCTTTTGTTTTGATTTTTTCTGTTTCTGTTCTGAAAACTCAATTGTTTTCTCTTTGAACACGCTCCTGTATGGTTCCCTCCATTCTTTCCTTCCAAAGCACAGCACTTACTACCCAGTGAAGTTTCTTGAGCTTCTCTCTACTCTCATAATTTTTTGGAAAATATAGTCATATGTACAGATTGTATTTAGGGAGACATTTCATTATTTTACTAAAATAAACCATTTTATTTTATTGTTTCATTTAATGTTCTTAACATTTGTGATTATTTTTAAATGCTTACCTGTACAATCTGTTTCTGCTTACTTTTCATGGATATTTTAACACGATGTGGGAGATTTTCTCTGTTAGTTATTTTTCTTGTTGTAAACACATATCCAACAACAAACAAACAGTTTTGAGTGGGCAGTCCATTATGGCAAGGAGGGGATGGCTGAGGGACTGTGAGGCACCTGGTCACATTATGACTGTAGTCAAGAAGTAGAGACAGAGAAGTGTTGGTGTTCTCGAGCCTTCTCCATTTCCATTTTATTCAGTCATGGACTCCAACCGTGGGATCTTCCCCTTCACTTAAACCTATCATGAAAAACCTCACAGACCTATCCAGCGGTGTGTTTCTTAAGTGATTTCAAATCCAGCCAAGGTTGCAGTCAAGATTAATCATCACAATTTTATTCCAACATTGCTTCTGTAAGGATTCTACGGTGCCCTGGAAGCACTTTCCAGAAATTTTTTTTGTTTGGTTGGTTTTTTTTAGATTTATTTATTGTGTATACAGTGTTCTGCCTGCATGCATGCCTTCAGGCCAGAAAGGGCACCAGATCTCATATTAGAGGGCACCAGATGCTGTCATTTGGCACCAACTCTAATCCTTCAGTAACAACAAGATCCTGCTAAGGCTTTAACTCTTTAGTACCCCTGGCTTGCCCTTGTGTCTTCATTGGTATGTCTGAGGACAGATCACAGACTTAGAAAAATGTAGTTGGCCATCTGCCATATTTGTTAGCTTAAAATTTCAGTCGGCATAGATGTTCAGTTAAACTGTTTGGCAGTACAGTTAGAAGAAGGGAAGATGTTATGTAACCAAGTAGCTGCAAGGAGACATGCTGATTTAAAAACTACATATCCAGAGTTATTGTTACAGGTTTAATGTGTAGTCAGAAAGATGACACCTCTATCCCAGATTACCAGAGACATTCACCATCAGTAAAATTGTGGTCAGTCTCTAACTTTGTTTCTCCTGTGATTATGTTTGAAGGGAAAGAGTATGACTTTTTAGTGAGAGGACACAGATGTCTGATACCTTGAGTTTCATTAGAAGATGCCTTCAATTATTGGGTTTGAGCATCTACCTGAGCCACATATCCAGAATCACACAAGTGGCCAAAATGATCCTGCTTTCCAACAAAAGAAAAAAGAGAAGAATGAGAAGAAGACTCCCAATCAACAAGCAATTTTAATAAGCGAGGATCTAGGCTAGAAACGTGTTAGTTACATATTTATTTCTCACATGACTCTAGTGACCTTATGGTTCTTATTCTGGATGAGTAAATTATTGTAATCTAAGATTAAAATGTCTCAGTTATGAAATCAAAGACCCAAGGATCTGATGATAAAATGTCAACAGTGAAGGTTGAAGTTGGCTCTAACCAAATCTATCACCTAAAGCACTAGGGAGGCAGAGGCAAGCAGATCTATGTGAGTTCAA